AGCTTCTCTCTCCCTGCCAGTGACCTCCTCTGCTCCAAACCGTGCTTGGGGCCTTTGCAGGTAGTTTGAAAGGGCAGTTACCCATGGACTGCCACCTCTTGCTCTGGAGCTTTTCCCGCAAAAATCACTCCTAGCTCCCAGGCCTTGGCAAAAGCCCATCTTAGTTTAGGTAAGGTGACACACCAGGTCCAGCAGAAATGCCGGGGGACATTGAGATTTGGTGGCAGTAGTGGCAGCTAATAAGCATGGCTCTGCAGGAGAGCCGCTTTGTGACCTAAGCCAAGTGGTCGGATCTCTCAGCCTGCATTTCCTCCTGCATAAAACCGATTCGTCAGATCTCTACTGCATACCTCGCTTAATGAGGTTTCTCCTGTGTAAACCAAATGAGGTCACAGGGAATGACATCAACTATATAAATAAAACATACACACTATTTGAGCATTCGAAAGTTGTCATAAGCATGCACACATGTTCTGATGCTTTGACTGTTCAAATGTATCTCTGTGATGAACTTCTGGGCCTGGGTTACATCTCTATTTCTTCGGATCTCATGGGTCCATGTTACATCTAATTCTTCAAATCCCACTTCTCTGATTAAACAAAACCAAACCAAAGCAAACCTATTGCTTGGTTTTTCATCAACAGTTTAAAACTTGCTCTTCTGGGAACTAGATCAAAACTAGATCAGTTGCTCCTCTAGAAACTAGGGCACTTCCTACCTTTTGGAACTAAAGCCATGTGACTTTGCAATTTCTACCAAATGTATTTACTTTACTGTAGAAAATAATCTTAGTAAGAAATTTAGGTGAATTAGAATTTTAGTTTTGTTTTAGTTTTGATATGGGATTTTACTGTATTGCTCAGTCTGGGCTGGAGCTCATAATCCTCCTGCCTCAGCCTCCCAAGGTTATAGCTATGTATCACTAAGCCCAGCTGCAGCTGGGATTGAACAGATTAATTCTGGTTTCACTATAAAGTAAAAATGAATTAGGAAGGCCTCTCTCTTTATACTCTGTAGAAAATATACTTGAAGTAGCAGTTTACAGTTCATGTGGTTTGCCAGCTTTGTGTGTGTACATGAGCCTCTGCACATGTGTGCATATGTGGATACGTTATGTATAGCAGAGTGGCTATTCTGGGCATCTCTGCTAAAACCAGTGTACAGCACAGTGCACACACTCATGCATAGCAAATAACTGAGTTGAAGATGATTAGATTCTAAGAGCAGTGAGGACCCCATCACACAGTGAAATGATGTTCAAAGCTCTACAGTGCATAAAGGCTCAGGCTTGATAGCAATTTCCTGGGGTTGGGACCCTGGCCAGGTTACTCGGCTCTAAGGCCATAGAGAAGATACTTATTTTCTTTGAATCCCTCATTTGTCATTGGCAAAATGAAGGTAGTAATGAGACCCACTTCTCAGAGTGTTCTAGTAAAGGTAGGGCCTGATGTGTATTTGCACTGTAAAGTCTTATTGTTGATGGCTCTGACAAGAGCTTAGTACGTCTAACGTATTCCTTCTCACTAACTCTATGAAACAGGAACTACTACTTTTCTTATTTTATAGATGAGAAATCTGAGTAGACACAGGGAGCCAATTGTCTGAGGCTGCTCAGCGAGGACCAAGGCAGCTGACCATCCATCCTGCATCTACATCTGCTCTGAATCCAGACTCTAAACCATCACTGTGAACTGTCAGACTTGTTTTCTGTTCACAGCCTTTATCTGCCTTTACCTACCTTCTCCTTTATCTTTGACTTCTTTTCTCCTCTGAGTATGCTTTCTCCACAACACACTTGCCAAATCCAGTTCCAAAGAGTTGTCAACATGAGCAGAATGGGCAGTCACTGGGCAGTCAACATCAAGGACTTGGTAGCTTGATTCCATCTAATTCAGCTTCTAAGAATTACATTAGTGATCATGATGTTTTCACTAAATCACACATTAGCAGTGGCCTTGAATAAATCAGTTCCTAATCAATAATTCTTTTGTTTCCAGCTTATTAAAGCCATCGTAAGATTTACCTTGAGGGCTTTTATTCTGTTTGGCTTTGGAAAACATGGTCTTGGAAACATTTTTTTTTTTTTTTTCCAGCTAACGTGCTCTTTAGAATGTGTTCTTCCCAGGTCCTGAGGAGACTCCTATGGCATCTAGGGCGATCACGTGCACCTGGGTGCATATTGACACTACTCTCTGTAGGGTTTGACCTGCCTTCTCTGAAGATAGGGTAGAGAAAGGCGGCCCGCCATGTCTGCCTTTCTCAGTATGGCGCTGGGGCATGGCTGCATTTTAAAGGGAAGGGGGAAAATTGTTTTTCCATCCAAAAGTAGAAGACTATGACTCATGCTGGAATTGGTTCAGAGTACTGGTCGAAAGATCCAGATTGACAACAAAAGCTGAGGGATCCTGGGAAGACAAGGTAGCAGGTTGGAATTCAGAGGCCTGCTGCTAGGAAGCGTGGGTTCACTGGACAGACGCAAGGGAGTAAGTTAGAGATACGTTTTTATAAAGCCGAGTTATTAACATAAACAAATCCAGCAAAGAAGCACCTTCCGTGTGATTTTCAAGGTCCTGGCTAATCGGAGGAACTCCAGACTCCAAACTCAATAAGTGAATGGGAAATCCAAAGAAAACCACCCTAGCCTCCTAAACAAAGTGGAAATTTCCGTCTGCCCCAAAGGGCCCCAACCCCAGCCATAGAGGAAGCAGAGGGCGAAAACACAGCTCTGCCTGAAATGACCTCCTATTTTAAGAAAAATCAACAGCCCCAAAAGAAGGAAAGGAAAAATAAAGTTCCACCCAGAAGGAAATTGTATGTAAACAGCCCGGAGGGAGCCAGAGGTCTAAGCAGGCTAGCGCACAGAACAGAGAAAGCAGGGAAAGGCACCATTAGCCCCTGACAATGTCAGGTCTGAACTTTGCCGGGCCTGCTTTGTGATTGACAAAAGGGGCTTGGGGGTGGGAGGCGCCAGACAAAAGCAAGCTGGCCGAAAAGTCCCCTCTGCAGCGTGCAAACTTTGATCTTCCGAGTTGGCTATTCCCCCCACCCTCTTCCCTCTCCCTGCCCCCGCCCAGGACTTTGCTAGTGTGTAACCCAGGAGAGAACAGCGACCACAGAATGTTGGCTATAATTTTCTGCAATTTGTCACATGCCCTCTTAGAGCCCTGGTGAGATGGTTTTCTTTTGTTTTTAAGCTGCATCCTGTATGCTAGCAGAGGTAGTTCAGGAAAGATAAGAGGAAATTGGAATCTTCCTTCAATGCTTCTCGCTTTGGGGTTATATGAACCTATAGTCCTGTGTGTGTGTGTGTGTGTGTGTGTGTGTGTGTGTGTGTGTGTGTGTGTGTGTGTGTGTGTAGGCCAGAGGACAAAGTTGTGCCTCAGGCACTCAGGCACCATCTACTGCCCTATCTATCTATCTATCTATCTATCTATCTATCTATCTATCTATCTATCTATTCATCCATCTATCTATCTATTCATTTTTTGTTTATTTATTCATTTATTTTTAGGCAGGGTCTCTAGCTAGCCTGGAACTCACCAGTTAGGGTAGCAGTCTGTCTGTCTGAGCCCCACGGACCTTCCAGTCACTACTAGGACAAGTGTGTGCCACCACACCCTGGCCTTTATTTTACTTCATCATCACCATCATCATCATCATCATTGTTGTTGTTATTATTTAATGTGAATTTTTGGGGAGTCAAACTCAGGTCCTCCTGCTTAAAAAGTGATGATTCTGCCAACTGAGCCATTGACTTAATCCCCACAGCCTATTTTAATTTTATTTGTCTGCATATGTATCTGTTTGGCCTACACCGCCAAACAAAGACCCGTCTTTGGATCTCAGACTTAAAAATCAAGCGATGTTGGTAAACAGATCTAAGGCTGACGTGGGGTGATGTCTTCTGAGCTGAGTACCACCGCCCTGTTCAGGTTGAACATGCACCTGGTAACCTGACATGACGCCAGCACACTTGCTTCTGTCACTTCCGGCTGGCCCCTCCCATGGGGACTTGTATCACTTTCCACATTGGTCCAAAGACATCTCTAGGAATACCCCGTGTAGTCCAGGGTGACACAGACTGCCGGGGACATTACGGCTGTGTGTGGACTTAGCACAGGGTTGGAGCTGCTGCTGGTGTTCTCTCTGGGACAGAGGGAATGGCAACATCTGTGCCCTGTATCTGCCCCATATTGTTAGTAGGATTTCTGCTCCAGTCTTTAAATCAGGTCCAGAGTGATTGTCAGCACACTCTTCTATGACACATTCCCTAAATGGTAGCATTTACTTCATCTCTAAACCTGTTTATGAAACCTGCAATCTACAACCTTATTGACTCCACAGCAACCTCATTCTATACTCACCTTCTTTTCATAGACACTTTATAGGTAACATCTGGAATAGTTCAAACAGAGCCCAAAGTGAGTGAAAGAGAACAGCTTAAGAAACTGTTACATGGTTTAATACAAGCCTGTGAAGCAATAGCCACCAATGTGGTGTTTCTTTAACATTCATTAGTTCATCCATCTATCCATCCATCCATCCATCCATCCATCCATCCATCCATCCATCCATCCA